CGGTTGAGATTAGACAGAGAAGGCAGTAAGAGTCTGGGAGGAATTACACTCTGAAGGGGACAAAGTAGAAGAAGCACTATGGAAAAGACAGAATAAGCTTTAGTTACGGTGGTGCAGAAGGGGTTGGAGGTCAGTTGAATCGGGGTCATCTAAATCAAGTCAGACATAGCGCAACCACTGCTTGGATATAGCTGGTTAGAAGACTGAGTTGTGGATTTGAAGACACTTTAAGATAAAATCTGGATCCTGGTTCTAGCTGATTGCCTTGTCGGAGTGTAAATAATTCAGTTTCTTAAGTTGAACTTCCGCCTAGGCTTTATTACAGCATAGAAAATGGTCCTAAATTTAATGCATGCCAACTTTTGTATTCTAAAAAGTCACAAAGAATTTGATTTGTAGCATACTGTTATTACAATTGGCCTAGTTTTAACTCTTCTAGGGGTATTTTCTGAATGCAATTTCCTTTTAAATACTCACATTTTGACACCTGATCTGTATTTAAAAAATAGAAATTGCATTGAAATGCATTGAATAATGCATTTGAATAAATGACACAAATATGACTTGTTGTGGTATATGTTTATCATTTGATGCATCAAATGATGGTATGAGATTTCATCATCGTCATAAATAGCGATTATGCATTATTTCATGGTTTTGGCAGAGCCCAACAAAACCCATGACTATATCCAAACATTTAAAAGAATGCAGGAGCCACACTGCTTTTTCAGCTCATTGCTTTCAGTCACTGACATTAAATAATGCAGTAGTACAGTCCTAAGATTCACATTTACCTCAGCCCCTCAAGCAAAGTCAGCTTGCCATGTTGTATCCTTTTACGTAGCCGCAACTGACTGGTCAGCATAGAGGTCAAAGGGATGTCAGTGTAGTTTAAGATTTGCAGCAGTTGTTCAAATTTCACTGTTAGTGAGGAGTAAATAAGGAAAATAATACAAAACTACAAAGACGTTCAGTTTTACTAACCTGGTTTAGATTTTTTTTTTTATGATCATACACTGTTACTGCTGCCCCTATCAAATTGCTATTGTAAATGTATGTTGCCGATTCATAGAATTCAATTCAATAAAATTTTGTTTATTTATATAGTGCCAATTCACAATATTTGTTTGTAAGCTACATTCATTTTTGCTTCCAGTTTCCTGCTGTTTATGTCATTTAGGATGATAAGGTTCTATCATTTAGTTAAATTTTCCATAGGTAAGTCTCAGTTACTATTAATCGCACATTATGCAATAACTTTATATTCAATGCCAAAGCCGGTGTCGGCAAATATGTTATTTATTCAGACTCTCATATGTTGTTCTGTGAACAAATGCCTAACTTGTAAGTTGAGCTCATATCATGGTGAAATGATAAACGATTGGTTTATTCCAGCATTTCATTTTCACTGATATTAAAAGGGAAGCCCTGAAAAAAAAGGTGCTAAAAAGCGTGCCTTTTCCAAAATCTTTCTAACTGTTGGATGTTATTGGACATTTTAACTGTATAAAAAAGATAAACATAAAAAAATCTTTAATCAGTTAAATATGAAAATTATATTAAACAAATTTTTATAAATGGAAAAAACTGATAAAAGGTAGACACATTTAATATGTTTAATGAAGCCTAAGTGATCATTGAAATTGATAGACTAAATTCAGCCTCACCTCTCTTTCCATGTCTGATCAGCTCCTGTGGCCAGCCTATGAGCCTCTTCATTCCTCCACCATGTCCAATCATAATGCAGGACACAGCTTTTTCAAATCACCTAGGATTCTGGTGACTTCCAACCAAGCTTCAACCTTTTCTACGTCCCCACTTCACAGTCATACTAAATTTCATCTGGTTCACTTTTCCTTCAGCCTTCATTCCAATTGTCAGCCCCTGGGGGGAGATTTTCCTATCCTAATTCATCTGCTTAAGCATATTATCTATAATTCTCCATGCTTACATCTTTGACAGGGGCTGGGATGTCAAACTCTAATTTTTATCATACTGGAAAGGCTAATTGTTGCTTGTCTTCTGTGTGAGTCTTTCCAGATTGACTTAGTTATTAACAGAATGTAATACTGGATATAATTAAAAATCCTTAATAGTTCATTAAACTTAAAGTAAGAAAAGTATTTATAGATTAATGGACTATTGAAATAATCTTTTATTTCAGCCCTAAACATACTTTTTTTCTAGCTGAAACTAGATTAATTCGGCACCTACCTTGCTTTGTTTCTGAGCATTGCCACTTCCTGATAATGGCTAATACATGTTTGGGAAAAAGCTAACTGAATCTTTGAAAAAATACATGCATAGGAAAAACAACACAAATAACATGGCATAACAGTCATGCACAGAAATGTAAACAAATCTACCAAGAGAATACTTTGCTCTTGCTGTTTTTATTAAAATATACAGTAAACATAAATAAAAATTTTACATGCTAAATCTTATTCAACAGTTTAAAAATAATTCTGCAAAGTGTTAAACCATTTTCACACAAATAAATGATCAGTAGTTTAATTCACCTAAGATCAAAATTTTCTTTTTATGTTAAGATGTGCTTATAGTACTGTACCAAGACTACACTAACTGTACACTCAGCTGGCACTTTAAGTGGTGTGATTTTTTCTTTCACTGAATTATGCCAGAGGATGTAGCTCCAACTGAGCTCCTTCAGATACCACTGAAACTGGCTGACTAATTAATCTCTTGTGGCTGTAAAGCAAAGAGAACTGCTTGGATTGCTTGGTAGAGATGATGGACAGGCCCATGTTTATTTATGGTGAGAAAGAATTGGGTGCAAGATTTACCTGCTGGGAATGCAAACCCATGAGTTAATGTTTCGTACATCCTTAACCTTTTTCACAACATGATTTCAAACAAAGCAAGAGAGCAAAAATTATATTTAAAAAAATACTAATAATTGAAGTGCTTTTATTTTGATTGTTATTTTTCTATCTCTGTTTTTGTGCTGCTCTTTGTGACTCCATAATTGATTTACTTTACTACTTTTCTGCACTTAAACCATCAACAAATGTTTCATTTATACCTCATTATAAGCTGTCATTGGAAAACTCTCTAGTGTGGCACTTCCCTTTCTATGCTAGTATTTTTTTTTTTAACTGAACAAAAGTAAACCTATTTGCATTGATTCATTAAAAACATTGTCACAAGTAACTACAGAGTTAAACTCTCACTAACGTAAAATCAGCAATTGCATATTACTCTACTCCTGATGAGTAAATAATCTAACCTTGTTTAATTCAATTGACTGTTAAATACAGAAGTGGATCAAGTTTTGTCATCCAAACAGTTTTGGATAAGAGAAGCTCCCTCTGGCCTGAATTGAAAACCGCTCTGCGATCCACCATATTTCTTCCAAACTGCTCCACTGCTCGCTCAACACTCCGCTTACAAGCTTATATATCCATAGAACAGAACAGAGGTATCTTTTATTTCTGACAAAGTGCAAAAATACAAATTTATTAGCTGCAAAAGGAAAAGCAAAGTAAGTTGGCATACACAAAGGTCAACCAAAGAAAAAAATGATGGGCTGTACAGCAAAGCAGATTTACAGTACATCAAATAAAAGATAGCTTCTAATGCTCTCTTAGACTTGATTGGCTTTGTTCAAAATTTGAGTAGTCCCACATATTCTCATCTTCATGCTTTGGAGCTTTTACTGAAATATAGCATTGAATGTGAAGAAAAAACAGTATTTCCTTACAACCCTGTCCTCTCTGACCTTTTTTTTAATAACCCTCAAAAATACTGTAACAGAGTTCTCCTCCAAAGAATGTTTTTAATTTAGCAAATCATTATTAGGTAATGCATTTTTTATTTTTAAAGAATCTGTTCCATTTTCTCTCTCCTCTGTGTTGTTGGGCTGTGCTGCAAAGTGCAAACATTTAGTTTATTCCCCTTCGCAAGTTGATTTTTTTTTTTTTTATGGGGTAGCTAGTTCTCTGCATACTACCTTAGTCAATATAGCCTCTTTGAAAAATAAAAACTTGAAAAATACAATGCTGGGTCCCTGGTTTAATGTAGAACTACGCACTTTGAAGCAAAACCCTAGGAAATCAGATATAAAAGGCCATTTACATGCCTAAAAGAATCGTACCAAGACTGGAAAAACAGTTAACTGCTGTATAAAATTATACTTCTTAGTGTGATGGAGCGCCACTAAGCGTCCATCCCAGACTCTACGTATCCGTGCTTCCTCTGGCCCAGGGGAGCACGGTGCCAGGAGCGCGTGCACAGGGAGAAAGCTCTCCCACGTGAGTGCGCTGCCCGGCAAACAGCTGTGTGCAGGCCCGCACCTGTGTCCAGCGGTCCTGCACAGTCCCAACGAACATTCCCCCCCGTCTGAACCGGTCATCGCGCGCGTCTGAGGGTGCACACTCGGCGCCGAGCTTCCACAAACACTCACCTCTCATCTCTGCTTCAGTCCCGCTGATCTTGGTCAAGGGGCCAAACTGGAGCACTTCCGCGTCACACTGGAAATAGCGCAGAGTGGCGCGCTTTGCCAGTCACGTGACAAAGGACTTAACCATTTTGGGTGTTTTGTTTTGGATTTTTATATTGCTTATGTTCCTGACGTTTTGAACAATGTATGGAGTCATTTTTGTTCATTTTTTAGTTTCTATGCAGGAAACTGGGTTTTGAGTTTTGTTATTTGGTTATTTTGTTTTTATCCTTAAAACCCCTTAATTTGTATTTTGGTTTACCCGGGGGAGGGGCTAAAGGGGTATTTAAAGGGGAGCTGAGCTCATTTGAGGGAGAGTGCTGGATCTGATAGTAGTGTTGGCTGTCCAAGTAAGTTGTCCTGTAAATAGTCCTGTAAATACTTGTTTTTGTTTTCTCGCTTCACTGTAAATATCATCACTGTTTCACTATTTCCACCTGGGGAGCAATAAAAGAAAAAAGCACAAACAATATTTTTTTTCGGCTGACCCTCGTTTTTGTATTTTTGAAACAAACCCGTGACATTTGGTGTCAGAAGTGGGATGGCCGGTCGACGGAAGCACCCTACAGTGAAGCGTACAGGGCTGCGCTCACAAAAAGTGAAGCAGGACTTACCTGTGGACGATGGAGGCTGGGCAACTGAAGATGAGGAAGGTGGCGCTGCTGCCTCAATCACGCAGCCTGCACCAAGTACAAGTGAGGAGCTTGTGGAGGTCATGAGGACATTTTTAAAAGGACAGGAGCGGAGGGACGAGGGGTTTTTGGCGGAGCTGAGAGGGCTTCGGGCCACCTTCCCAGCCCCACAGTGGTCTGTCCCTGTGTCCGGACCTGCATCACCACCCGAGGAGTCAACACCGAGTCTCCGGGTGGACCTTCCCACTCCAGCTCCTCAGCAGTGCCGCGGTTTCTCCAAGGAGCCCCCAAGGATCAGCATGGAGAGAGCTGAACCCTCCAGACATGAGGGCCGGCTCTACGGCGACCCCAAGATCCCTCAATATGTCTCAGGGGAGGACATTGAAAACTACCTGCTACGCTTTGAGCGCATCGCAAGAACATGGGGTTGGCCGGAAGGTGAGTGGGAAGGCGTTGGAAGCTTACACAGCCATGGATGAGGAGTTGGCGCACTCCTACCCAGACTTGAAAGCTGCACTGCTGATCAAGTTTGATGTTTCACCGGAGACCTACAGGCAGCAGTTCAGGTCCATGTCGGTGCCACCTGGAGAGAGCTCGACTGAGACCTACCACCGTCTGAAGGGGCTGTACCGGCGCTGGATCCGGCCGGAGCAGCTCTCCAAAGAGCAGATCGGGGAGCAGATTATCCTGGAGCAGCTTCTTCGCGTCCTCCCGGCAGACGTTCGCACCTGGGTGAAGGAGCATGAGCCGACAGAGGGGCTAGCCGCAGCCAAGCTCACGCTGCAGTATCGCAACGCACGGAGGGGAGGCCCAGCTGCTTACCAGGATGTTCGTCAGCTGTTGTCGCAACCCAGAGCCAGCTTCCACCCACCTAGAGATCCCGGGCCTGCACCCAGTCAACGTGGTCCTGGTAAGGAGCTCATCTGTTTTTATTGTCAGCAGTCAGGACACAAAGCTGCCCTGTGCCCAATCAGAAAGGCTAAGCTTACCGGGGCGTGTTACACCCCACGGGCTGAGGACATGCAAGGGGTAGGGAGAAAGCAGTGGTTCAAAGAGGTGTGCATTAATGGGGAACCTGTGACTGCTCTGGTGGACTCAGGGAGCTTCATGACTCTTGTACGGAGGGACATTGTGCCAACGGGCTTGTTGGATTACAGTAAGCAGGAGGACATTTGATGTATACAGACATTCAGACATTCTTACCCCACGGTGGATATGACAGTGATGGTGGATGACCAACCATACTTACTTACTGTGGGGGTGGTGGAGAAGTTACCGGTAGCNGGATGAGACTCTGAAACCAGTGTTTGCCAAAGTGGTTGGGGGGCTGGACAGTGCCAAGGGGAACAGAGAGAGTTATGTTATCGATGACAAGGATGTTCTGTATTTAGTGTCAGACGGTGTCAAGCGCCTTGTTGTTCCCTCGTCTTGCCGCCAAAGGATCATGCACTTGGCTCACACCTTGCCTTGGGCTGGTCATCTGGGTCGCAACAAAACATACATGCGCATCGCTTTCTGTTTCTTTTGGCCCTCCATGTACTCTGATGTTCAAACTTACTGCAAAACCTGTCCCACCTGTCAAAAAACCTGCTTTGTCCGCCAATCTGACCGTGCATGCCTCTAACCTCTACTTGTCATCTCCACCCCATTCCGACGCATAGCCATGGACATTGTGGGCCCGCTCGTGCGAAGTAGTGGGGGCTACCAGTACATCCTGGTGATCTCAGACTACGCAACACGGTACCCCGAGGCGTTCCCCTTGCGCACCGTCACTGCCCCTGCTGTGCTGCGTTGTCTTGTGCAACTTTTTTCCATGGTCGGTGTCCCGGACGAGATCGTGACGGACCAGGGGACCAACTTCACTTCCCGACTCATGCAGCTCTTCCACCGCCAGCTGGGGATCTCTGCGATCAAGACCACTCCGTATCACCCGCAGACGGACGGCTTGGTCGAGCGGTTTAACCAGACCCTGAAGAAGATTCTGCAGAAGTTCGTGGACGACACTGGACGTGACTGGGACCAGTGGCTGCCCTTTGTGCTGTTCGCCTACCGAGAGGTGCCGCAGGCATTCACCGGATTCTCCCCATTCGAGCTGCTGTATGGCTGGGACGTCCAGGGCCCATTGGACTTGCTGCTGAAGGTCTGGGAGGCTCCCACCACGGCTACTAGTGATCGGAGTGTGGTGCAGTTCATGCTGGAGATGAGAGAGCGCCTGGCCAAGTATCGGGAGGAGGCTGAGGTCAACCTGCG